AAAAAAAAAAAAAAAAAGAACCTTGTTCTACAAGCAGAAAAAAAAAAAAAAACAAAAGAACACTACCAAAGCCAATATCCCGGTAGCAAAACCAGGAAAATACACAACAACAAAAAAGAAACTACAGACAAATTTCTTTGATGAGCATAGCTGTAAGAATCCTTTACTTGTGAACTGGATTTAAGAACACTTTAAGATTATACACTATGAACAAACAGGCTTCATGCCAGAGAGGCAAGGTTGATTCAATATATATATATGTATATATTCAATAGATGTAACACATCATATAAATAAACTTAGGACAGAAACCACACAAGCATTTCTATTAATAATTAATTAATGCCAAAAAGGCATCTAAGAAAGTTCAACATTCCTTCAGGATAAAAGTTCTGGAGACTTTAGGAATAGTTGGTACATACCTCAACATGATAAAGGCCATATACAACAAACCTACAGTCAATATTACAGTAAATGGGGACAGACCAAGACCATTTCCTCAAAAATCAAGAACAAGACAAGGATGTCCACCCTTCCCTCTTTTTTTATTTTCTAGCTTTTTAGATTTTATTATTTTTATTTTGTGTGTATGAGTGTCTGAATGTATGTCTGTGCACTACATGCACACAGTGCCCATGGGAGCCAGAAAAGGACACTAGACCTCCTGGGACTTGTGTTACAGCCAGCTGTTATAATATGGGCCTGGAAACTGAACCTGGGTCCTCTGCAAGAGCATCAAGTGCTCTTAATTGCTGAGATATCTCTCCAGCACCTTCCCCACTCCTACCCTTTATCTGAGCTCAAAGTCTGCTATAGCAGTTACAGAAAACAGACCTAAAAAGGATAAACATAGGAAAATAATATCTATATTTGCAGATAACGCAATTCTTTTTTTTTTTTTTTTTTTTTTAAGTCAGGGTTTCTCTGTAGTTTTGGAATCTGTCCTGGAACTAGCTCTTGTAGACCAGGCTGGCTTAGAATTCAGAGATCCACCTGTCTCTGCCTTTCGAGTGCTGGGATTAAAGCCACCACCACCCGGGGATAATGCAATACTTTAAAGACTCCATAAAATGTACTAGGAAACTTGCAGCCTTCATATAAACCAATAGTGTATTTTCAGAGGAAGAAATTAGGGAAAATATCCCATTCAAAACAACTCCAACACCAGAAAACAAGGTACTTAGGGATATATGTAAGCAGGGAAGCACCCCACAAGAGAAGGGCAGCGCTGGAACAGCGTTACCACTGAGCTGGCTCAGGATAAACGACCCACATCTGCTTACCTCTGATTCTAGGTTTGCTTTCAGATTCGCCTCCATGATCCTCTCTGTCCCTTTCATTACTGGAAACCACATCCAATTCTCGGCAGATGGCGCTACAAGCAATAGAATAAGAGAATTTTAAGTTGGTTTCTAGACTCAATCACCCATGGAACTTCTGTGAGAAAAACATGTGCCTGGGGTGTAGGTAGCTTAGTGGCAGAGTGACTGTCTTAGTATGTAAGGCTGTGAGCACCACTTCTGGTATAACAACAAACAAACAACCTGTCAGCTAAGTCTCAGGCAATACAATCTCGTCTTAGAGTTCTTCAAGCAGATTAGTATATTAAGGCTGGGAAACACACAAAGATGTTCGCAGTGATGGATATTGTGCTCAGGCAAGTGCTCCAACACTCAGCAAGCCCTTGGTGCTCTGAGACAGGTTTCAGTGTGTAGCTCTAGGTGACCTGGAACTTTTTTTTTTTTTTTTTAATTTTGAGAGTCCCATGTATTCCAGGGTGGCCTCAAACCTGTTATATAGCCAAGGATGACCCTGAATTCCCTGAGGTCAGAGATATAGGGTGTAAACCACAACAGCTGCTCCTAGAACTGCCATCCTTCTGCCTCTGGATCGATGGTATGTGCCACCACGCCTGGCAAGATCTTCTGAATATGGTGCTGGGGATCTAACCCAGTGCCTTGCATATGCGATATGCTTGGCAAGTGCTCTGTCACTGAGCCGTGTACACCTCTAGGCTAAAACTCTGATGTATGCATATGTATATGTGAGCTACAGTACCCATAGAAGCAGAAGCTCGGGTGCTGACCCTCACCTGCGACCTTAATTGAGACGGGTTCTGTCTCTTGTTTTCTGCTGTGTATTTTGGGCTAACTGGTCTGTGAGCTTCTGGGGATGTTCCTGTCTCTCATTCTCATGTCACCACAAACACACAGAGGTCACAGGTACATGTTACTGTGCCTGGCTCTAAGTAGGGTCTAGGGATTTCAACCCAGGCCTTTTTTTTTTTTTTTTTTGGTTTTTCGAGACAGGGTTTCTCCGTGTAACAGCCTTAGCTGTCCTGGAACTAGCTCTTGTAGACCAGGCTGGCCTCGAACTCACAGAGATCTGCCTGCCTCTGCCTCCTGAGTGCTGGGATTAAAGGCGTGCGCCACCACCGCCTGGCTCAACCCAGGTCTTAATGCTTGAGCTTCACCCGAGGAGCCCTCTTCCCAAGCTCCGCCTAAAAGTTCTAATTGCTTGAATTGGCGTTCCCCAAACTTATTATTTTTGATGCTGTGTTTTGGGCCCAGTACGTTTACTACTGAGCTATTTATTCCCCTTAGCCCTCATAGGCTTATTTGACCTTAAAATGCTTTTCCCCACAAAAGAGCTAAAAACATGCATGGCCCCCCTAAAGTATTACCATATAATCCCTAGTATTAAATACCTCCATAATTAAATCTGTCACCCCGTGAAGCTACTTCTTCATTCAGGGATCTAGGATAATCTATTTAAAGCCCAGAAGAATAGTCACAAATGAGGAATGATCCATGATCTGGAACATACCTTATGGTTGGAACAGCAAATGGATCAAACTGGTCCACTTTCTGAAAATCAATTGGCACAGAAATGCGACCTATAAGAGCCAGAAGTTATAAAGACATGATGGTGGGCTGCTATGTCTCTGAATTATTTTTGGTTAAATTTTTATAAAGCGCTGGGGTGACAGTTTAGTAGTTTAGTGGTAGTGTTTGAGGTGCACGCATGCACACAAGAACCTAGGTTCAATCCTTCACGTGCACATGAACATACACACACACATAATTTTTCATGTTTTTGGAGACAGGGTCTCACTACATAGCTCTAGCTATTCTCGAACTCACTACTATGTAGACCAGGCTGGCTTTGAACTTGTGAGTCTTTCTGTCTCTGCCTGAGTACTGGGATGGATGATATACATGAGCTATCATGCTCAGGTTGTTTGGGGACAAGTTCTCACTATGTAGCCCAGGTTGGTCTTGAATTTATGAATCCCCTAAGTGCTGAGACTACAGGTATTTACCACCACACTTGACTACATTGGATATCTTAAGTTTATTTTTATTATTTTTAACTATATGTGTGTGTTATATGTACACATGTACAGGTGCCTACAGAGGCCAGAGGTATCAGATCCCCTTGTAGCTGAAGTTTAGGCAGTTGTGAGTCACCTGATATGGCTGTGGGATTTGAATTCATGTCCTCTGGAAGAACGGTACATGTTCTTAACCATTGAACCATCTATCTAGTCCTGGACAGCTCTAAAACTTTTTTTTAAGCATTTATTTATATGTATATGTGTAAGTCCGAGGATAACTTGTAGGAGTTGGTTTTCTTCTTCAACCATGTAGTCCAGAAAACTGAATCTAGGTCATCAAGTGGCTCTAACCTGTTCCATCTCACCATCTCATCTCACCAGTTCCACACTGAACATCTTTATGGAGCATTTTGGAACTATATAATCATGTGCCCAGATGCTATTTTGGTCAACGAATGGGCTGCATACAATGGTGATATTGTAAGATACTGTCCAGCTTAGTTTGTATAAAATATACTGTGATGTCTACACAATATAGAGTGATATTTCTCTAAAGGTATTTCTGTTGCTAAGTGACAGATGACTTTTGATGGCATTACCTTATAAATCTACACTTAGTTCAAGGCCAGCCTGGTCTACACAGAGAAACCCTGTCTGGAAAAACAAACAAACCCCACAAAACAATCTACACTTGGGACAATACATAAAATTCACAACTAAGGGCTGAAAATATAATGATTTCTTTTGAAATGGGGTCTCATTATGGAGTACCTGGGCTAGCCTGGAACAATCTGTGTAGCTAAGGATGGCTCTGATCCTCCTGCTCCCCTCTCGCTCTTACATCCTGAGTGCCGAAATTACAGGTGTATAATAACTTTGTACTTGGCTTCAGTTTGTTTCTCCTAATAGGTTTTCTTCTTTTTGTCTTTCTTGAGACAAGGCTCTCATATTGCCTCTCAATCTCCATGTTGCTGATGATGACTTCAAACTTCTGATTCTCCTGTGTCCACCTCCTGATTAGTGAGGTTCCAGGCTTGTGCCACTGCACATAGCTTATGGTTGCTGGGGATGGCACCCAGGGCTTCTGTGCATGCCAGGCAAGCACTTTGTAAACTGAGTCTCACACCCCCAACCCTGAAACCTTTATATAGTAGCAGTTCACCTGGTGGCTACTTAACGGGCAAGGTCAAACAAGGCATGGCACAACATGCCTTTAATTCCGGCACTCAGAGACAGAGGCTGGCAGAGCTCTGTGAGGGAAGCCTGGTCTACACAGTGAGTTCCAGGCCAGCCAGTTCTACATAGTGAGACCCTGTCTCAAGAGAAAACCTTTTCTTTTAGTTTTCCTTACTTTCCTCGCACTGTACCTGTTTTAGGATGAACGCTAAACGGGCTCTTCAGTAAATGGTTGATTCCTTTGCTCACGTTGATATCCAGGCGTGGGAAACAGTACTGGAGCATAATCTCCCACTCCAGCCAGGGACCACACTTATCATTCTTCATATTCTAGAAAGAAAGATCTCCTTCAACCATCTTTAAATGACCAAGCAAAAACAATCATAACTTAATCATGAATTGTATTATGATATTGGGAAGTACAGATTTCAATACCTGGGATGTGTTGACCACTTTCTTCAGATACTCCCAGCGCTGAGATGAGCTGTGAAGCCTTTGAAAGCCCTTCTGAAGCTCATCATGAATTGGTGACGCATCATTAAGGAACACACTGATCTGGGATACCTGAGTATGTCAGTCTGTAGTATGTATCATTACAAGGATGCTGGAGCTTCCCACATTTAGGAGCTATTTAAAGATTCCTAAGACATAAATGACAGGCACTTACAACAGTAAAAAAAATTCCCTTAGAGCAGGGCAGTGGTGGCGCACACCTTTAATCGCAGTACTAGGGATGCAGAGGCAGGCAGATCTCTGAGTTCCAGGCCAGCCTTGTCTACAGAGCAAGTTTCAGGACAGCCAAAAGCTACACTGAAAAACCCTGTCTTGGAAAAAAAAATTAAACAAGTCCCTTATAAAAATATCATAGTGAAATGACAGAAAGATGCCAAAATAATTAAAAGGCATTACAATAAAGTTTTCCTAGACTAAATGACTCCCCTTCTTTAACCATTATTTCTAGGAACAACTTATGAAAGGAGAGAATTTTACAAAATGGTCTCATTTCTTACTGTAGCCATGCAGGAAACAGAAGATGAAAGTTGCAGGAACGTATGAGACCACAAAAGCAGTACCCGTCTATAACGTCACAGACCGACATGACTGCCTCACAGTGACCACAGGAAAGGATATTCTCAGGAACAAGGGCTAAAATCTTCTCCCAGTTTTCTTTATTTTCAAGAATATCTTGTCCAACTAAGGCATATTCTTCAAAGTATTTCCGAATTATGTTTATTGATCTCCTATAGGAATAACAGTAACAGTATTAGTAACACACAGGACATGCAGGTACTCTCCTACTGGGTGAGGTCACTGTTTATGCTTTCCAAATTCCTAGAACTAGATAAAAGCAATGAGACCTTTTTGTTAGTGGAGTTAAAACTAGACACTTAAAAGGGAAATCACCTAGCATGTACCTATTACAGGATAGGTAGGTATTATGGAAAGGTTTGGTTCTTTTAATTTTATTTATTTTTTTAATTTTGAGACAGCATTTCACTGTGTAACTCTGGATCACCTGGAACTCCTCCGGAGACCAGGCAGGCCTCTATAGAGACCGACTGCTTCTGCCTCCTGGTGCTGGGATTAAAGGTGTATGCCACCATGCCTGGCCTAAATGATTACTTCTTAAATCCTACAATCTATAAGGTTACTAACATAGAACATGCAACACTGGTATAAATAACTAACTCAGGGCAACCTATCAGTATTGCATGTAGGACAACCTATCAGTATTGCATGTAGGACAACCTATCAGTATTGCATGTAGGACAACCTATCAGTATTGCATGTAGGACAACCTATCAGTATTGCAGGTAGGACAACATATCAGTATTCCATGTAGGACAGCATATCAGTATTGCATATAGGACAACCAATCAGTATTGCACGTAGGACAACATATCAGTATTACATGTAGGATCTAGTTTTCGCTTTACAATCACAACAGCTGCCTAGCATGGTGGCACACATCTTTAATCCTAGCACTCAGGAGGCAGAGGCCAGCCTGGTCTATAGCAACCCTCTCAAAACAAAATAAAACATAGCAACAAGTGCATAATGCTTGGGGTTTACAAATATCCCTCACGTTCTGTTTGTCTCTGCCGCAGCTCTCTCAAGGAGCAGGTCCAGCCCTCCACATCATTTCCATAAGGAAGTGGTGCCTCCAGCATTTAATCAGCTTCACAGGGCAGAACAGGTGTAGAGAAAGCATGGGTTTTAGAGGTAGGTAGACTCGGGCCTGCTTGCTAGATGTCAACATTACTTGTGTGATGGCAAGCAGGCCATGTGATTTCAACAGAGATACTGTCACGTTTCTCATGAGGTCGTGAAGGTCACGGAGAACCATAGGAGAACACACTGGAATAGCGTGACATCAAATAGAAGTCTGACAACTGCAACTGTTACTAAGCATGCTCCTCGGAGGCGAAAACTGACAGCAAGAGACCTCTACAAGCACGTGCAGCAAATCAGAGAAGCCCAGGGAGTCTCTCCCAACAGACCTGACAAAAGGGTGAAGTCTTTCACCTAGGTGAACCTTCTTCTTAACATCTTGACCACCCTGAAAAAAAAAACCACCAAAAAAGACCTTTATTTGTGTATATTATAAAGCATAAATAAAATTATTAAAACATCTTTAATATGTTCTACTATTCTAGTTAAAGCTATAGATATGGCTAAATTAGGAAGTATAGGAGCTTGGATGTTGTTTCAGTATTAAAAAAATATTTAATTTTTGCATATATGTATATCTGGTCTATGTATGTGTATTACAAGAGTGTTGTAGCTGTAAAGCCCATAAGATTGAGTCAGATCCTGGGAACTGGAGTTACAGGTGGTTGTGAGCTACCACGTGGGTGCGGGAAACTGAATCAGGGTCCACTGCAAGACTAGGAAGTGCTTCTAACCACCGAGCCATCTCTCCAGCCCAGAATCTCAATACCCCTGACTTTCTGTTAACTTTATTGGATAAAATTAACTAGAGAAGCAAATGAATTTTCCTTTAGCTACAAAGGAGGATCCTTAGCTGTTGATGGAAAATTTCTGTCTCACCTGGTCCCAATCATTCACTCCCACATAAACACAGAGACTTATATTAATTATAAACTGTTTGGCCCAGTGTTCAGACTTATTACAACTACCTCTTACAACTTAAATTAACCCATAATTCTTTTCTATGTTTAGACACGTGGCTTTGTATCTCTTCTCAGTAAGGCATTCTCATCTTGCTTCCTCTGTGTCTGGCTGGTGACTGCATCTCTGCATTTCCTCTTCCCAGAATTCTTAGTCTGGTTGCCCCATCTATACTTCCTGCCTAGCTATTGGCAGTATGAATGGTTTTATTAAACCAGTATGAGTGACAAATCTTTATAGTGTACAAAGGCATTATCCCACAGCACCGAGCACCAAAATATTTAGCATCTTTTGTTGTTGGAAGCAGGGTCTTACTCTACAGCCCAGGCTGGCCTGGAGCTCACAGCTTCCTGCTCCCTTCAGCCCTTGGTGCTAGAGTTATGGGTGTGAGATGCCATCTATATTTTTTAAAATATAGATAATTTATCTATTGAGTTTCACATATTTATGTGATGAATTTTAACTATTTTTACCCCCCCCCCCAACCCTCTTCCCAACAGGCCTTCTTCTCATTTTCAGGCCATCTGTGTGGATGAGAGGCCATTTCCTAGAGCTAGGATGACTTATTAGTGACCACACTACTGATGAGAATGACATGCCCACCCCACTAGTCCCACAGGAAGGGGCGGGGCTTCAGGGCCTCTTCCTCCATCCCTGACAAATGAACTGTGTCTGACAGCCCCATCACATGCAGAGCACATGCAGACGGACGGCTGTGGTGAATCCACATCTGTGCAGTGGCTGCTCATCCAGAACACATCTCTGCTGCACGTCTCCCATCTGCTGGCTCATTCCTTCCATCTTTTCTCCTGCAATGTTACCTGAGCCTATGTCTGCATGTGTATGTATGTGTGTGCACGTCATGTGTATGTATGCCTGGCTATGTGCATGTGTATGTATGTGTGTGCATGTCATGTCATGTGTGTGTATACCTGGGTATGTGTATGTGCGAGCATGTGGGTGTATGTGTGTTTTTATGTGTATCTGTGTGCATGTGTGTGTAGTATCTTTCAAAAAGTAGTTACTATAATTTTAAATGACCACTGCTAAGATCACTTAGTCTAAAACATGAATGCTCTAAAAGATAATTTTTTGTGCCACTGAAAGTTCCAGGCTTGGTAATATCTACTAAAGATGTGGAAACTATCTTCTAGAGGACCTGAGTTCAGTTCCCAGCAAACCACTTGGTGGCTCATAACCATCTGTAGTGAGATCTGGTGCCCTCTTCTGGCCTGCAGCCATACATGCAGGCAGAACACTGTATACACAGTAAATAAATAAATCTTTTAAAAAGAGAGAGAAGCTTACCTTTACAAGACTCAAGTACTCTACTATCCCAGAACGCACAGCAGAGGACAGCTTTCTAACGGACTCATCACAGACCCAACAATGAACACCTCTCCTTCCTGAGTACACCCAGAGGCGGTGCTTAAACCCAAAGTCCTCTGCAGAGGAACAGAATAGGTTTGAAGACATTTTATAACCTAGTTTTCACCTTCTGATGTTTTCCACAAGTACTCTCATATTTTGAGACAAAGTTTATGTTACCCAGGCTGGTTTTAAACTTGCTGTATCTCCAAGGATGACCTTGAACTCCTGATCCCTCACCTCTACCAACAGATTCGGCTTCCTTATATTTTGTTTTTGAATTTGTATCTGTATGATGTATGGGTGTGCATGCCTGTGCATACACATGGAAAATTCAGAGGCCGACACTAGATGTGTCCTTTTATTCTTGTCCACCTTATTGTTTGAGGTCTCTCACTGAATCTGGGGCTCACTGATTCAGCTAGATGGGTTGGTTGGGCAAGCCTCTGGAATCTTTTCTACTTCCCCGTGCTGTGGTCACAGGTGTATGCTACCATGCGTGGTTTTTACAGAGGTGCTGGAAATCCAAACTCAGGTGCTCATGCTTGCAGTGTGGTGGTCTGACAGAAAATGGCCCCCAAAGGGAGTGGCACTATTAGGAGGTGTGGCCTTGTTGCAGGAAGTGTGTTGCTCTGGAGACAGGCTTTGAGGTCTCATATATGCCAAGTCATGGCCAGTATTGCCTGCAAAAGGTAGGACTCTGTTCCATGTCTGCCTGAATGCCTGAATGCTGCCATGTTCCACTATGATGATGATGGGCGGAACCTCTGAACTGTAGTGAGCCACCCCAGTTAAATGTTTTCCTTTATGAGAATTGCCCTGGTCGCTGGGTGGCGGTGGCAGCACACATCTTTAATCCCAGCACTCCGGAGGCAGAGGCAGGCGGATCTGTGAGTTTGAGGACAGCCTGGTCTACAGAGCTTGTTCCAGGACAGCAGGCTGCTACAGAGAAACCCTAGAGTTGCTGTAGTCATAGTGTTTCCACACAGCCATAGAAACCCTAAGACATACAGCAACAGCTTTCTCATTTTAATCATACTGACTTACATGGAGCTTGCTGTGCCCTGAGCTCTTGATTTTTTCTTTTTATCCATCCTCACCTTTCCGACAAGGACTTCTTTCTTTCTTGACTTACAGTATTTATGTGTATATGTATATATGTGCAATGGTGCCTGCAGAGGCCAGAAGATGGTATTGGATCCTTAAAAATAGAATTAGAAGCAGCTGTGAGCCAACCTACACAGTTGCTGGGAATCAGTTCAGGGGTACCAAAGTGGGGGTGGGGGAGCAGGAGGATCAGGAGTTCAAGGTCATCCTTGGCACTAGATCAAGTTTCAAACCAGCCCAGTGAAGAGTCTTGTTTTTGTCCTTCATTTTTCTCATGTGTACCTAAAACACAGAACTGCTCTCAGTGGACTGCATTGGGGGAAGGTGCAGCTGTCTTCACTGCAAATCGCTCTCTTTCCTTTTTCCTCTTAGGTTTCAGGGGCAAACAGTAGAAATGTCTGAGATCTGATAACGAAACACAAGAGGCTGAGGAAAGCAGACCCAGACAGCCACGTACCCTTCAGTGCTCGGTCTATGATGCGCATGGCCATCGTCATAAGAGTCCAGCACTTGGAACATATGTCTGCAGAACTGGAACACAGCCATCATTACTCACTGCCAGGGACATCACCCACCCCACCAGGGAGGCGCTTACCTGCAGCATCGCCTGACGTCATCGTAGTCTGTCATGTCAATGTCAAAGACCAGTTCTTTCTCCTGAGCCTGGAACGCTCCTAGCTTCACTGTATTGTGTTGACTGGGCTACAAATACAAAATGCCCATCAGTTTCTGTCAGAATTGCCATGTCGACTCACACAGAAAAATGAGTCAAAGAACTTGCATAATACCAGTCTACGGGGCTTTGAGCCCATTACTTTGGATCTTACACAATCTGAATTAGTGATAGCTTCATTTTTTTTATTTATTTAGAATAAAGTTCAATAAATTCTCTATAAATATATGTTTCATGATAAAAATAATAAAGCATAGGGCGGTGGTGGTGCACATCTTTAATCCCAGCACTTGGGAGGCAGAGGCAGGTGGATTTCTGTGAGTTTGAGGCCAGCCTGGTCTACAGAGCAAGTACAGTGAAACCCTGTCTCAAAATCAAAACAAAACAAAATGGGAAAAGAACTAATAAAGCTATTTTAGGTCTCTAATAAAGAATTTACACAAATAACCCCTATTACAGGGTGCTCTACAAATTTTTGTTACTATACATACAAATAACAAATATATACTTATTTTAGATCCCATCAACAGATTAAAAAAATCTCCAGTGAGTCTTTGTTGCTGTTTTGAGAGGGTCTCAGTAGCCCAGGCTGACCTTGAACTCCCTATGTGGCCAAGGATAATCTTAATTTCTTTCTTTTTTTTTTTGTTTGTTTTTCGAGACAGGGTTTCTCTGTAGCTTTGGAGTCTGTCCTGGAACTAGCTCTTGTAGACCAGGCTGGTCTCGAACTCGCAGAGATCTGCTTGCCTCTGCCTCCCGAGTGCTGGGACTAAAGGTGTGCACCACCACTACCTGGTATAACCTTGAATTTCTTTTCTTTTTTTCCCAGAAGAGGGCATCAGATCCTATTATGGATGACACTGTGAGCCACCATGCGGTTGCTGGGAATTGAACTCAGGATCTCTGGAAGAGCAGCCAGTGCTCTTAACCGCTGAGCCATCTCTCCAGCCCCATAACCTTGAATTTCTAATCCTCCTGCTGTCCCCCGAGTGTAGACACAACCAGCTTTGACGTGGATGCTGGAGGTTTGAACTCAGGTCGAAAGCAAGTGTTCTTCCTGACGAGCCTTCTCCTCAGCCAGAGACACAGTCCTTTCTCCTCCGTCTGTTGCTTTTTACTGACAGCCCAGGCAGGAGACTAGATTCCTCTCAGCAAAGTCTGACCAGACATGCTGGGTACTGTTCTAGGCTCTAGGGACAGGTCAGTGTGTAAACGGAAGGCCTCTATGCTAGTGGAGATGTTATTCTGACAGACCTGGAGAAACTTATCTCAAGAGTCCCAAGAACACGGCTCAGCCAAACCACTTTCCAGTGAAAACATTAGCTAGGTGCTTTAGTAAATCCCAGCTCCTCAGGAGGCAGAAGCAGGAAGATTATGAATGGGGAGGGAGGTGAGTATAAAAGAGTTTAATCAACTATCATTGAAATCCCAGAAATAAGGTATTTCAAAGACAAAGGACGGAATGCTTAGAAGAAATGTAGCTCCCCCGCAGTTGAATATATTGAGTCCATTCAATAGCTGTCAGAACAGACAATAAAAAGTACAGACCAAGACCATAAAAAGTACATATACAGTTGTATAATTTCAGAACTAGGGAATAAAGGAGTGACAGGACATTCTAAGAGCTCTCAGGTCTCATATATTAGAAAAAGAATAAGAATAAACATTAGTTTCCCACCCCCTGGGGCAACATGGATCTAAGGATCTAACGTGGGGTCTCCCACAACACATGCTCTATGACTAATCTACATCCCAGCTCCTTTCTGAGAAACGTATTAAAAATTTCTATACTTATTGTGTTGTGTGTGCAGGTGCAGGTATGTCTGTCAGAGGTTGAAGTTGGGAGTTTTCTTCAACCTCTCTCCACCTCAGTGAGACAAGGTCTCTTCCTGAACCCGAGTTCCCTGATTGTGCTAGTCTGGCTGTCCAGCAAACTCCACGGATCCCCTTGTCTCTGCCTCGGCGGGACATGGGTACTGGGGACTCTCAGCTCAGGTCCTCAAGCATTTTACCAACTGAGATATCTCCTCACCCCTCAGGCTTTCTGTTTTTTTTTTTTTTTTTTTTTTTTTTTTTTTTTTTTTTTTTTTTTTTTTTTTTTTTTTTTTTTTTTTTTTAAATATTTATTTATTTTTTTTGTATGTATACAATATTCTGTTTGTAGGCCAGAAGAGGGCACCAGACCTCATTACAGATGGTTGTGAGCCACCATGTGGTTGCTGGGAATTGAACTCAGGACCTTTGGAAGAGCAGGCAATGCTCTTAACCTCTGAGCCATCTCTTCAGCCCCTTTCTGTTTTAAAATAAAGATTTGATTTGATTTTTCTCTTTTAGCCAATCACATCAAAGGCTTTTGGTTTGTTTGTTTTCAGAGACAGGGTTTCTCTGGCAGCTCTGCTGTCCTGGCACTCACCCTGTAGATGAGATTAGTTTTAAACTCAGAGATTCGCCTGTCTCTGGGATTAAATGAGTGTGTCACCACTCCAGCAAGAATTTTTTTGTTTTGTTTTAAAGACATGGTCTCATGTATTTCAGACTGGTCTCCAACTCCGCTGCAGCCGAGATGACCTTGGATATCTGATCCTCTGGCCTCTGCTTCCTTTACACTGGGATTACAGGTAATGCACCCACACACTTGGTTTATGGAACCCAAGGGTCCATGCATGCCACACCAAACGAGTGTGTTTCATCAACTATAACAAACTCTAAAACGTTACCTTCAAAACCTGGGGCACCAACCCACTGCAGCCTATGAAACATACACAAAAAGGACTCCTTACTCTGTGAGAATATACAGCGCCGATATCAATCTTATACGGATTCATCTTCTGCATCTCCTTTTCCAGATCGCTCTGGTTGCTGAAGGACTGGTAGCGAATATAAATATCATCCTTCAGTGTGAATGAAAATTCACGGTGTTGAAAGTAGTTCTTTGTCACTGCAAAACAATTTTAATTTGGCACTTTATTCGGTTTAAGGCATTATACAACCTCAACTAACAGGAAGATACACATATTAAAACGACAGAGTCTTACTGTAAAGACTAGGCTGCCCTGAAGTTTACTATGTAAGCCAGGCTGACCTTGGAACTCAGGAAAATTCACCTGCCTCAGCTTCCCAAATGTAAGGATTACAGGTGTGGGCACCGGGCCCTCTAGAATATTTTTCATGAGTGCCCTTGTGCCCAACACTGTCCTACCTAGCCTGTAATTTGAAGGAACGTACTATTCCACATTTGCTAGGGAACAATAAGCAGGAGGTGTAAATATTTTAAAGACGAAATGCCTTTCATCGGGGGGGGGGGGGCACTAACAGACCCAGCTGTGAAAGTGTCTTTTTGCAGGTCACGCCTCCATGCTAACACCTAGACGCCCGCTTGTTGCTGGCCCCGTTCTTTCTTTTCTAACACAGTATGGCCACTGGACCGTCATGTCCATCTGTCTTTTTGTATCTTAGCGGTGGTGGGGCGGGATGGAGATGGTGCAGGAAGACACCCGACACCTCTGACACTCAGAGAGGCCCTTTATACAGTCATTTAAGGACATCCCGCCCAGAACATCCTCACACACCTCTCCCAGACCCACTACCCATCCCCTCCCGGCCTCCATCACCTCCTCCATAGTTGAGCCAGCGATAGTACTGGGCGTAGGGAAAGAGCCTTCGGTAGTATAGCTTGAGTAGCTCCGGCAGCTCCGCAGGATCAAACGGCTCCATGAAGGAACTAGACTGACACGAGAATTGGCGGGAACGACACAGGACTCCACGACTGCGCACGCACCGAATCGTGTCGCGCCGCCGCAGGGGCTGCCGGGAATTGTAGTTCTTGCAAGTTCTGCAGGCTTGCTCTTTCTGAAGAGTTCTGAAACCCTGTCTGGAAAAACAAAACAACAACAACAACAAATAACTTAGGTTTATGAACAGTGGTTGCAAGAATAGGTCAGAGTTCCTTTTTATTTGTTTGCTTAATTTTGCATTAACTTCTGTGATGTTCTATTATTTATTTATTTTTATTTATTTATTATGTACACAACATTCCTTCCATGTATGCTTGCATGCCAGAAGAGAGCACCAGATCTCATTATAGATGGCTGTGAGCCACCACGTGGTTGCTGGGAATTGAACTCAGGTCCTCTGGAAGAGCAGTCAGTGCTCTTAACCTCTGAGCCATCTCTCCAGCCCCTCTATTATTTTGAA